ACCAGTGGATGTCCCTGTCCTAGTGATAACCAATCATAGAATAAAAACATGTATACGTCAGTCCAGCCTCTTCGAAATACTGCAGTCTCGGTCAAGGTTACCAAACCCAGGACTCGCGGTACCCATTACATAATCTTCTTGCTTTGCTTTGTCTTATAATTAAACTAAAACAATGATTAAACAATCATATAATCACACCTGTGACTGATTTGAAAAATCACTGCGACTTACGAGTATGATTATTATTACACTAGCACCAGACTCGCAAAAGATAAAAATAAAATTCAATATATTTGTTTTTTTGTGCTTAAATTTTGATGGCATTTATCTTTGTCTATGGTCAGATCACGATAGTGACTTATCACAGGTGAAATCGGAGTGACTACGACCAAACATTTCATCATATGATTATGATTTAAAAGTCGCAATAGTTTCCATCACAAAAAACGATTACATTCCCTTCCAGAAAAGAGTTATGTGAAAACTTAGCGAGAGATATAGTAGAAAGCCATAATAGAAACTAGCCAAAACCCTTGTCAATATTTAATATTGCTCATTTTAATTGTTGTGTAACGTTTGTCCACACAACAAATAAAATTTATTAAACAACAAATAAAATTGATAAACAGATAGGAAAATAATGATTACATTACAGCAGTATGATCAAAACATAATAGTGGAAAACATTTGCTCGTTCCTAGTCATTATTAAATAGTAATAGAGTTGGTTACTTGTGTTATGGACTTCATTTGATTGTCTTTACTCTTAATTAATTTAAAACGCTAAGGGTTGTGTAGTTTTGTTATTAGTTTGATCCTACGTGCAACTAGGGCGGGTTTGAATGTTCAACCACGACTATGCCAATATTACATACTTGAACGTACCCTTTACATAAGCTTTTAGTTATGTTGGAGGACTCCATAACGATATTAGTAATATGTGAACAACCTTACCAGACAAGTAGTATTTAAAAATTGTACTAGATTTAATAAATATTGTGATTGTACTAGATATCTTTGATCAAATAATACAATGATTGTGGTTTTGAGTATTTCCACGGACTACTCAAATGTTCTGGTGGCGGTAGTGTCGTGCTTCGGGTCGTTGATCTTGACCAATATCGGTTAGGCTACACGATGCCTGGGACACGTATGCTGTCTGTATGGATAGGCCGACTCAAAACTATTCTTCAAAAGTCAAACTTCAAAAGGTCTACCCAGACCCAATCAGTATTGGGTCTGGGTAGACCTTGCAGGCCTTTGGGCTCCGGTAACCTCATTCACTCGTTGAAAAGCAATTAAAGAACTGCTTAACACGTGTTTTCTGTAAGTTCCCATATTTTCTAAAGCATAACGCTCCCACGATAAATTTTAAGAAAGTTTATAATGCCTAGATATTCAAGGATTCTCAGGATTAGAAACCATTTATTTTAGTTGTCGATCCGGGGTCACCTGCACCATAGCCTGTATTATGATCGTTAGATGTCCCTTTACAGTCTTCATAAGTTTTTTTTAACGATCAAAAGAATTGTATTCTCCCTCTGCAGTTCGTGCCTGGGTTTCATAACCAGATCATATTCATTGTATCCGAACGAATTCCGAAAAATCATTAAAAAGAAATCTACTGCCGGAAAATATTTTTTTATATCTTGTGACCCGTTCCTCTGTACTTTAGAGTAATGTTATTTTGACAAAAAAAGGCTTACCGAAAGTAAAAAGAAAAAACCATTGCGCATTCATTGTTCTTATTGTACCGCGATGGGGTTTAAGAATACTTCGGCATGTAAATGTGCCACAAGAGTGCTTTGGGCTCGATACCTACTTGCTCGAACAAAGCAATGCGTGAAAACTTGGAAAATTCTTAATATACTATGTAAGGTGTCGTTATAAGAATCATTTTTAATATATTTTAATAAATGAAGTACTCAAGGCGTTCACTACGCCTGAGTGAGTGCCTGTTCCTAATTTTATTACGTTTTAGAACACAACAGGAGATTTCAATCATCCGACTGGCAAAGAGTTCTACCCATAAGATGACTGCGTCTGCATAAGATGAGTGTAATATTTTTTCTGTAAACATGATTGTCCGAACGTGCAAAGAACCTTAATTCCTTCCTTTTTTACACGTTCTGTGTAACGTTAGCTTATAAGTGAGACGAAATTTGCAATTGCTAGTCGGCTTTAACTGCCTATCATCAATTAGGCTGCCAGGCTTATATTTTACCTTTTAAGAAAAATGCAAAAGAAAATAAAGTTATCTAGGTATAAACACTAACTACTACTTACTATCACCACCATTTGTCTCTGTCCCGCTCCTCAAACATTCATAAAGGCATCTCTATTGCACTAGATGAAATCTAGAATACTTAGACAGCAGTACGTTACTCATGCCACGTATTAAATTTTCGTAACTCCCAGGATGACACCGAAGTGATGATTGATCTATAACATTTTACGTAAAAACCTATGAAGCCTATCCAATCTGGTCTAGAGGTCATATAAAATTAAAGGAGATTGTCAATATTAACTTCGATTCGCCGCCACGTATGTGGTTGTGTGAGCTATGATAGAATTCTAAATCAATTAAGTGCCCTAACATTTTCCTACTTTTATTAATTGCGTTATCCTTCGTCACTACCAAAATTAGGCACCTTTAATCTTAATTCTTGATTTAATATTAATTCTTTGAGTGATCCGTTATTGAAATGTTGGGCCCAATATTTAAACACTAATTGGCTGTTTGTCATTATCATTATCAACAGCCTTTGATAGTCTACTGCATGAGGACATTAACCTCTCCTTAGAAAGGAGATTTTGGCCTGCTATACCACGCTGGCCAGAGAGTTTGTTTCAAGTTTTTCTTCTCTTTTCAGTGCTGCTGTTTTGCGTTATTTGCTCCTTTAGTCAGCTCTTCCGACACTCGCGGGGTGAATAGGGGTGGTACACTCCGTATTCTTAATCTGACATCACACGGACATCTGTTTGTCATCAAGTCTGTCGAACGTCAACAAAATATTGGGATTTCTACACGGTGTAGGATCACATTAAAATAAATTACAAAGTAGAATTAGTAACTAATGATAATACTCCCTTTTAAGTTAGTAAATAAAAACAATAGAATACACAAAACCATTTAATTAACACTTGTTACATTCGATCAAACAAGACTGTAATGGATACATATATTTTTAGAATAGATTCAGTGGTTTAGAAATATAGTTTTTGAGATTGATTTTACAATTATAAACATAATAAAAAAAAACCTATTAAAGACCGCAGTTACCGTATTGAAATGCAAATACTACTCAAAATACAAAATGATAACTTATAAAACTAAATATTGCAAAGAGTAAAAGTTATAAAATTCAAAAATAATGTTTATTTCAAATGTTATAATTCGCTAATGATACTCGTGTTTCGTAAAAAATATCTTCCAACCAGAACTCTCTCTGTGATGTGTACTCTTAGTACATAATTGCAAGCCAACCAAAATTTAAACATGATGATTAATGATAATGACTCTCTAATAAATGGGAATAGATAACAAGGCGGGTGGTCTCGATAAACATAAACATGGATGCATATCTAGCGTTTCAGGAAGTTATTTTAAATTTGAAAATATGAAAAACATGACTGCATTAAATAATTAATAAGTAACTGACTAACTAGACATTTTCTAACTATTTAGACATTTTCAATGACACCTCAAACAAGCCGTTTAGGCTGCAGGGTGTGACTAAGAGACGTCATACATACATATATACGCATATACATACAAAAACTCGAAACCATAGTCCTCCTTGTTGTAATCCAACTGGGTAAAATAAAGCCGGTCGTTCACTGTGTTCGTGCTAATTATTCCGTTACTTAAAAGCGTCGGATTGAAAGGGTGACAATTTGTAAAAACGTGATCACTTTTACAATGAGCTCCAATTAAGACAACAGATTTTGTAAGTTTAATCTTCTTATATAAGTACAATTTGTACATAGAGAAAATAAAACGCCATATGATGTTAATAATTTATAAATACATGTGTTTTTATATTTACTGATAAAGACAATAATAATATGGCTTAAATTAGATTGCACTCACGTGTCGTTAAGCCTTTTTCTCTATGTCTACGGTTCTCTTTTCATTTTCAGAGGAGTTGGACCATGTTTTAACACGTCCTAATATTTTTGGTTACAATCACACGGATTTTTATCCCATTTACTATAAAGTCACGTTTTTTAAATATGTAGATAACTTCGTTGTCATTTATTTCTTAAATTACTAAAAGAACTAAAAGAACGCACTAAAAGAACTAAAAGAACGAAAAATGTAATCAAAAACCTTTTCGATAAATCAGAGAAGAAGAAACAGAATTCCACAGTACCCTGAGCAGAGAAAGTATATTTTTTATTGATTCATTTTCTCTTTTATACTATTTATGTTGATTTTTGAATTAATATTATTTGCATCTCTGAATAATTACTAATATTAATATCGAGCTTATAATGAATTCACATAAAAAGTGTTCACAACAACGATTTTAAATTACTAGATGTATCATTTATTATTTTAATAAAATTCTTTACATAAAAAATGAGATTTTACATCATTTATATGCTAAATGAAAAATAACTAAATTAATAAAAATAACAGTAATAACCTTATACAAATTCGTTCCCAATATTTTACCTAAAATATTGTCAAAGTAAACAAAAAAATTGAATATGTTATATTTACACTTATACATAATTAATTGTATATGTACACATTAAACACTTTTATTTATATTCCACTCATGTATAAAATATTTACAACAAACCCTAATTAAATTGTTCTTCATTTCTTATGAACGAAATGCGGCGATCGTTTTACGAACAGTTAATATAATTCGTTAAATTTGACATCTTAGCGACTTTACTAAAACTTTGTATTTATTATTGTTCCAAACTGTATCACGTAAAACCCGATGTAGTTTACCCTAAATTTTCCCTGGTAAATGGATGCGCCATTTACTTGATATAAGGCAAATTTGGCAGCACGTCGGATCTTCGTCGGTGATGTGAGCCGTGATGCCTCAAGTGTATCATAGCTTCTATCTTTTTTTGTTCCCTCAACATTCGAATGTAATCCTCATCAATCGAGTGTTTTTTTGTTCCTCGCATACTTGTCTTATCCATTTTCTCATTGTCTTTAAACAAAACACACCACAAAGATTTATCCTTGTTATCCCATAACAACGATTTTGTATACTCTTTTAACCTTCTGCTGTTTTCTTCAACCCGTCGCATCGCTATCTCTATTTTAATCAAGTCTTTATAATGGTCTGACGTAGGTGGCGTCGTTGTTAGATTGTTACTGTCACTTTTAGCTGTGCTTATATTAATTCTCGACAAGTAATAATTTTCATACTGGTTGCCTGAGTTTCTCGTTCGCAATAACCACACTACACTAGCGATAAATGTACACGACACTATGAAAGTTAATATGAGAAGAGTTAGTCGGAATACTACACTGGAGGACGCACAACTCATATCACTATTTGTTTATGTTTGCAGACGCACTGTGTTGGTGGTTCGTACATACCGCGCCAGCGTACTCGCTACGTCGTGCTACGTCCGTCCGCTCTCTACGTAGTACCGCTACGAACTGCCGTAGTTCTTAGAGAGCTTCGACTCGGCGCATAAAGCCACTGTTTATCTCAGTTGTAATTTGCAGTTCAAAGCTGTATCCAAGCTACAGATGCTTTCAAATCTCTTTGTGCAAGCTTTCTTTGCACTTTTGTGCAGTCATTGTGCTGGAATTTGAAATTCTTAACTACGAAGTTGCAGTAATTGCTGGCTGTTTTATACAACTTTATGTAAAGCATATCTTCAAAACAGAAATACAACTTAATATAAAAAGGATGAACTACGATGGTTAGTTTTGATTGGTAGAAAAAATGATTGGATTCTAAGTCTGTAATTGAGTTAGCCGGCAGCGTCAACGATAAAATCTTCTTGTTAGTTTAGTTACTAAGCAAGGTTTCAAGGGTTTTAGGAAAACCAGTAATCTAAATATCTGCTTAAATACACATTAGAATAAATTATTGAGTATAATGTTGTCTTTATTATTAACTCTTATTTACTTTATTTTTCCAATTATGATAAAAATATGAAACAGATAGATGTTGCCTTTGCTATGCCGTCCAGCTAAACTTGAAGACAGTTAGCTAGATGTCTGACCGCCAGATGTATGGCCGATTATTATCCATTAGTCATCATGCATGAGAGCCTTGTTGCAAACTGTATTAGAGGGTTTGTTAACTACTTTAATCAATTTTACTAATCCTCCAACATTATAGAGACCGCGGTTAAAAAGCTCGACAGACGACTCTGTGTGTGTTTTAAAAATATCGTCTATCTTGTCTATTTTATTTATTCATTGGCAACATAGCATCTTTTTCATTAGACAAGATAATAATAATTATATTAAAATTTCAATCCAATAACAGAGTTTCTCGACCTTCGTTTTACTGTATAAAACTCAATCTACGTACAAATAGAAATACAGACCATGTACCATGCGCTTAATCTTTGATTTGCCTTTAAAATGCCGAATTTACAAGAAATTTTGGTTACAAGTTTCCACTTATTGAGCACGCAGTTATTTATTTATTCAACAAAACCATTACAAATTTGAGACCGTAATAATCCCTTTGTTGGATTATGTCATTACTGCTAATGGCACTAAAAATAAAAGTGGCCTATTATATAAAATTACTGCACATAAATATAACCGCCAAGACAGTTCTAACTTATTACTAATATCAATTCTGGTACAGTTTAGATTGAGTGAAGGTAAATAGACAGGTGTAGTAAATGTCTACTTCAGTGCTCTTTCTATTTAATTATATGTAAAAGACAACTGTTATATGCCTCTCATTTTACTCATTAGTTATAATTAAGACCTTTTTTTTATTCAAGTAACTTTTTTGAAATGCGCAAATGAGGCAGACACTTAGCCTTCAGTTGCGTGGGATAAAATACGAGCTTATAAACACTCGCTTCATGAAACTTTATCATGAAATACTGAAAGGAGTGACAGTGGAGCAGATTATGTGGAACACGGACCTTGTGCAATGTTATGAAAACAAAGCCGCACAGTGAAAATAATACCCGACTTTCATTGTAGTTCTTTATACAGAGGTTCCACCATAATTTCACGTCAGTGCATTTGGGATTGTTAAACCACGTTTGCAAGAATCGTAGTATATATAAATTATTCATGTTTATAATAACATATAGTACTTGTTACTCTTTCGACTTTGATGTTAGAATTGAGTTTCATGGCAAGAGATTTTAAGTGTTTCGTAAATGTTGCCCGTATTGTGTCGCATAACGTGAGTTACTCGTTTTTGTTAAACTTTGACCCTTCTGTATACTGCGTTGTTTTATCGGGATATCATCACGTGAAATATCTCTGTGAGAGTATTCTAAACTCATTAGTACGAGTATGTATGTATTATTGAACTATTCTTATTATTAGTGTCACATTGGATGTAGGTACATCACTTATAATTTGTTAAAGTTGCAATAAAGTCATGTTAGTTCTTATAGGAAAAATAACATTTTCACGTATACATCTTTTCGTTCGGTAGTGTGTTGAACAAAACAAAATAACACATCTTAATGTTGCTTGATAGGAAAAAAAAATCGTTAATTGTAAGTTTTACAACAATATGGATATATTTCTGCACATTATTAAATGATACGAGTACATTATTATCTAAGTAGTTCTAGTTTTATCGGTATTTTATTATTATAGTAATAGTTACAAGTATTCATACCGATAAATTTTTGTTTTTCAGTAGGTACATAGTAATAAGCCCCGTAAATAAGTACAGATTAAAAAAATAGGAATAAAATAACAACAGAATGTATTAATATTTAGGGGCCTTCCATAATTAACAGGAATTATTTTTAAAATTAGAGTAGTTTGAAATGATAATATTTTGTTATTCGCGTACAGGTGATGCTAGTAATTTAAAATAATTTTAATGAGGTAATTTTTAAATTGAATGTTCAAGGTTCAAATTTTAAAACCGACCATGGATGAAAGATGTTATAGTCGAACCTAGAACGATTGTTTCATTCAAAGAACCATTGAAGAAAGGAGTTTTCGGCGAGCAGTTCATCGGAGAAGTATAATTTGTCTTCGGACGAAGATAGTTTTCGGCGAACCGTTCATCAGTGAGCTATAATTTGCAGAACCGACTTCGGGCGAATGGTGTTTTCAGCGAACAGTTCATCGGTGAAGGTTAATTCAGAATTCGATTCTGAGCTCTTCGGTGCATTTTTTCGATATTCTTATGAAAATATTATTTTCTCTGTACTAATATCAAAACATATATATTCACATATATACCATTAATGTGTTGCTTTCCTAGAAAATCTTTTAAATTAAATGGAAGCCCCTTAGCACTACACTCATAAACTCGGTTAAAAATACATCTCAATGGTTACTTAAATAATTTGGCTTCAATTTCAAAATTTCACAACTACCATATTCTCTCACCATCTCTTATTGCCTGCGGAGCAATCTGTCTTAAGAGCTAGAACGCGAAATATGTAGTCTCGGGCACGTACTGACTTTATCCATATATAACTGATATTAATACATGACGAAAAAATTTATACATATTTTAAGGAAAATTTGCGTAAACAGAGGAACGTCTTTCACGCACGTCAACGATATTTGTAAAAAAACTGAATGTGTGCTAAAATGTCTGTAACAGGCTACATGAATTCAGTCATTTATGTCCACATATTATGGTTACGTACTATACAAAATACAATGACAGATCAGGTTGCACTAGCCGTGGAAATAAATGTACCTAAAAAATAAATCATTATCGTATTAATTTTTTACACTGCGTCTTGAGGATTGACTGAAACAGCAAAAATAATCTTGGTACATTTTAAATATTCAGTGAAGGTTGTGAGTGAAACAGAAGAGATCATGGCGTTCATGGGCATCGGTAATCGCTTTCCATTAGGTGACCCGTCTGCTCGTTTGCCCCCTCTTCCATAAACAAAGATCAACTACATTACAATACTAGTTTTAGGAATTGCATACTAGAATATGTGACATTTTTCGTATGGAAGTAAATTTCAATATATAATAACTGAAATAAGTTTGTTAAAGATGTCACCATGGTTGGTTGTGGTAGAGAATAAAAATATTTAAAATGAAAATAAAGTAAAGTATACAGTTAAACATACTTGTATATCCCTTTATAACTGATGATTTTGATCAACCGCCATCATGCTTGACGTCATTAAACTGATGTAACTTTTTAAATAACCCAAAAAGAGCATTAACTTAGGTCTAGAAATCGTAAATATGACCAATTATTTGGATAAACGTAAATTGAATGATTAATGAATGGTGAACTTTAATGACTTTGTTGTTAAAGAAAGAAATATACATTTACATGTAGGTATATATCTCAATTACACGTAATGAGAGTTTAACGTTTGTGGCTTTGTTTCATGATAAATGATATTGACTACACGATCGATTAGTTTACTTCACATCTATATTACTCATATGTAGTTATTTATAAAGGTATTTATAAAAGTATTATTAAAGGTATTTTGGCCATTTCTGTATGAAAATTATTTTAACACTTTTTTTAATGTGTGAAATATGTTTAAACTTCATTATTAGCCTTCATTGAGTATTATCTAAACTATTTGCGTATATTGTAACAGACCTTGTGGTTATTGAGAAATTAACTTTAAAAATATTCTTCTTCTTCTTTTATTCATTTCATTTATTTCTTCTTTTATTCTTCTTTTATTTTTATAAAAATATTACCAATGAGAAAATATTGTGATACTGACGTTAGTTTTTTTTTTCAAATAATGTTTATGGCATCGTTTTTCTGATAGGGATACCATGTATTAACTACGACTACATATACGAAATCATAAGATGACTAAATTGCAATATATTTTAATGTGACATTGCGACTTATTATCACTTATATTATTATTTAAAACATTGCATTTTGCATTTATATAGAAGAGATTCGGGGTCGAAAAGTCACATTTTTTTTTGACATTTGAAATAATGACGCGAACGTCTTAAAGTGAAACTTTGAATGGGCATTCTCCTTTATCACTTCAGGGGGCAAAAGACAAAAAGTCATGAATTGTTTGACGTGCAGGTCAAACACTTCATGACAAAACACTGTCACTGTACTAATGATAAAAAAAAATACTGAGCTAAAAAAAATATCTACTACATTTAGCGATACCGTGTTCACAATTATAGTCCCTTTACAATATATAAGCATTACCAATTCAGTTGGTATCGATACATATCTAACAGTCTACATGATATCATGTTAAAGGCATTTAACCATAAACTGGCAGATAATCTCATATTATTCCTAATAATGGAAGCGGATTTTCACAACTGGATTTGGATGAAACGACTTAATATTCGATACAATCAGATCTCACTTTATCTATACATTACACATAGG